CGGTGCGGGGCTCGAATCTGGCGCGGGCGTCCGGGAGGTCGGCTCGTCGGGTGCGGTTGCGCTTTCGGCCGAGGTGGCTGCACAGCCTGCCGTGGAGGAGGAGACCAAGGAGCAGCGTCTGGCGCGCGAAAAGGCCGAACGCGAGACGCTCAAGCTCGCCGTCGTAGTCGAGGCGCTCGACGAGCATGCGCGGCCTCTGCGCGAGCCCAATCTGCAAACCTCGTACCTGCGCCTCACCTCGTTGCCGGTGAAAAGGAGCGTCTCGGAGCGTCTTACCGCTCTGACCACCGATGCATCTACACCAGAGGTTCGCATCTGGAGTTTGCAGGTGGAAGGGCAGGAAGCCGAGATCGGTCCGCACCGGTTCCAGTTACAGGAGCTTTACGGCTTGTCGAGCAAGCCTCCCGCCGTTGCACCAGCGCCACCCGAGGGCGAGGAGGAGGAGGCGCCGCAGATGGCCATGGTCGACGCGAGCAGTGGCTCCGAGTGTCTGATCTGTCTGTCGAGTCCGCCGACGACGTTGTTGCTGCCGTGTACGCACGGGCTGTGTCTCGAATGCGCCGTGCAGCTGCGCGATTCGGTGGTGGGCATTCGGCAGAGCGAGAGGAGGAGAGGCAGGACGCCGCGCCGCAAGTACGCCTGCCCCGTGTGCAGGAGAGCGTATACGAGCATGCTGCACCTCAGCAAGGCCGACGAAAAATCCGCCGCCCAAACAGCCGCACCCCCGTAACCCCCAACACAGCACCTAATCGCAGATTTCCAAGCCACGCTTTGCTCGGTCGTGGCGGTATGGAGCGAAGAGACTTTCAAGTGGAAACTTGGCTACAGGGTTTTTCGTGGTCTCCTGGTACATTGATCATTGAGGTGTCCGTCGTCGGCGGCCTTGCAGTAATCGCACAGTTTGGGACGATCGGGCCAATAGACCTTGACCCATGTGCCCTCGACGTTGACATAGGGCGGCAATCGAACCTGCGGTCTTTGAGCCTGTTTGCTTTTGAGCACGACGACAAACTGCGGCTGTTCATCGCGCTCCCCTCTTTGTGGGATAAAGTCGACGGAATGCGGGTAACCATTGGGCATGACCCAGGCTGCGACGAGCTTGCCCATCTTGCCGAAGTCCGACCTGACCAGTGCAGCATGGACCTTTGGAAAGAAGTCGGCGTGGTTATGCACGTACTCCTTGGGATAGGTGAACTGGATGGGAAACCATGGATGCGGAACGAAAGCTGCATGCAACCACGGTGTCAACTTGACCGTCTTCCAGTGCAGTAGCGCATTGCGAGCTCGATCGTGGTGTTGCTTTGAATAGAAGGTGATGTCGACAAAGCGGTGGATTGTATGAGCGACGGTAGGATAGGCAATCGAGGGTTCGAGACCACTGTCAAATGCGCTGATTCCGAACGCGTATCGCAGTTGGCTCAGCAGAGCTTCGCTACACTCTGCCCTCTCGTCCTCCTTGGGCGCCACTTGGAACTGGTACCGATGCGTTGCGAGTCTGGTCCAGGTCTTGCGATCAAACGTAGGCACTTCCGCCACATCAAACGGCAGATCGCCCACTGAAAAGTCCGAGGCGAGGTGAAGGAGGTCGATTTGAAAAGGTCGCATCCCCGGTGCGCGTGAGACAGTCGGCGCCGGCGTAGGCAGTCGCGAACTAGTCTCTACCCCAGCAGGCACAACGGATGGTGTAGAGGGTAGCAGCAGTGGAGCCGCGCGAGTCTTGCGTGGGATCGATGTGCCCATGAGCCGATCTCGCCGCGCCCGAAGTGCAGACACACTGACCGCAACATGCTTCTTGTCCCGCCCCCAGACGCTTGGCTTGACTTCAACACTCTCCACCTCCCCATCCGAACTGTCTTGCGTCAGGTCAATCACCTCCATCGTACCCACCCTTGACGGTCTGTGTGGCAAGGAAAGAAAACACGCCCCTTCAAACCGCACACCACCTATAACCCGCCAACATTTCCTTCGAACAAAGGGACCGAACAAAGGGACCGGGACCCGCACAGACCGCCCCACCCGCTCCCGCTTCATCACGCCACACGCACCCCACCTGCAGATTGCACTTGTCATTCCCTAGGGCATCTTGGCCATTGGCTTGAGCCACCTCTCTGCGTCCCTGAACTGCGCCACGACCTCCTTGGAGATGGCATTCTCCGCATCCAGCGTATCCACCGCCACCATGACTGCGGCCCAAAACCTAAATGCCCTGGCCAACTCTGCGCTGACCTGCTTGACGTTCGCAAAGGTCTCGTCGAGCATGCCCAGGACGCTCTGTTTGGCTTCTACCACGTCTGCATCGTCCTGGTTCTCGGCAGCGACCGGTCCGTCGTGGAAGGCCAGTAGGCCGTCGAGGAAGCACTTGACTACAATGCCCATGCCCGTGTTGACGTCCGTCTGGAAGGGCAGCGAGAGTGCAATGTCCAAGTAGTCATCACGGCCACGGCGTGCATCGCCCCGTAGCAGCAGCGCCATGCTGATCATCTCGACCAGACCGCGCATCGACCTCGCAGTGGCCTTGACGAACGAGTTGAACACGAGCAGTTCCCTGCTCAACGGCGCCGTCCACTGTGCCGGCCTAAACGTCATGGGCAGCAACGAGACCGTGCGCATAACCAGCAGCATGTGCCTCTTCTCCGCCTCGCTCCCGAACGACGGTCCGCCCGAATAGCTGCGTCCGCCAAAGTAGTTGGCATGCAGCACTCCGCCTCGCAGCAGCTCGAGCGCCAGATACAGCGGCTCCTGCAGCTTATCGTTGAGCCTGGTCTGCTTGAGCGCCAGGTAGAGCGCACGCGCATACGGCGTATGCAGATGTGCATGGTTCAAAAACCCACGCAACTCCAGCATCCGCCAGATGGCATTGGCCACGATCTCGTCCTTCTTCTCGAGCGCCGACAACGCTCCATCGGGCATCTTGACCCGCGGCGTTTTGGTCCGGCTCGCCAACTGGTCCGACGTGGTCGCGCCCAGACACAGCGCAATGTCGATCGTCGACGAGTTCTGCCTTCGCAGCTCCTCCTCGATGAACCGGTTCGACACGTTCCACTGGTTGACGCGGTTGATGAGCTGCAGCGTCTGCGCCGAGTCGTGCGGCACGCCATGGTCCGCCGACGGCGCAAAGTAATAGACCGCCGACAGCTTGCGCGACGACCAGAAGCCATTCAGGACGGACGCTGCCAGCGCCAGCGCCACGCAGCGCGGCGACTGCGGCGTCTCGGTCAGCGTCTCGCGCACGTACCGCCGGTAGTCCTCCGTCTCGCCATTGTCCAGAGGCGGCGCCTCGACCACGTGGCCCGACGTGAGACTCGCCAGCACCTGCGCACCCACCAGGCCGCGCGAGAGATGCACAAACACCTCGTCCGGCAGCCGATGCGAAAACACCTCGTGCAGGTCCACGGGCACGTCGGCCGCCGTCACAATGTGCGC